TGCGCAAAGCGTTTCGAAAAAAAATACATAAAATAAGTAGACCAAAAATGTAACAAAATTGTGAGGGGTAAAACACTTAATACCAAAGAAGAAAAACTAACAAAAGAAAACGTTCATAGACAATAACAAATGAATGCTAAGAAGGTGACACTTAAGGATGACAGTCAAGACTGTTAGACTAAGACCTTCCGTCAGTGTATAATGACTTACTGTAAATATATAGCTCTTGAAATAGAACATTCTCTGTAACTGTAAGGTGTGACATTGTAACTATAAGGTGTGAAGGATAGATGAAATTGTTTATGTAATAGTCGAAGATGAAGTCTGATTACCTTTTGTGCCCTCTGTAATGCTTTTTGCGCTACCGCTCACAGGATGGGTATGGGGTGCACAATAAACTAGCCGCCTCCGGCGGCAACATTCAAATCAGTCAACTGTTAGACTAGACTATACCCATCCTGTGAGTGGTAGTGTATTGTGCACCCCATACCCATCCTGTGAGCGGTGGTATATTGTGCACCCCATACCCATCCTGTGAGCGGTGGTATATTGTGCACCCCATACCCATCCTGTGAGCGGTGGTATATTGTGCACCCCATACCCATCCTGTGAGCGGTGGTATATTGTGCACCCCATACCCATCCTGTGAGCGGTGGTATATTGTGCACCCCATACCCATCCTGTGAGCGGCAGCGGAAAATAATTAACGACAGAAAAGTGTCGTAATCCAGATCATTCTCCTGTTGTGGTAGTACTTACAGTAACGATGAGCACCATAGTACATATACCGACATACATCGCAGTTAGAAAGTAGAAATCGGCACTATTGAATTTGGACAAATCGTAAAAGATTGTCTATTGATGTTGCAAAGACAAAGTAAACTAACTTAACCTTCCTAGGCCTAATACACGATATCTGAGGCCTAATATAGTACATATGTCCGCTATACTAGGCCTAAATAATTTTTTGCTTTTTTAGCTTCATTTTTTCGGACTATAAAGTGAATAGTATAAAATTATACTATATATATTTGCTTAGTACGTCAGTCTTTGTACTATGGTGCGAATAGTTACAAAAACTACTATCTAAACAGGAGGATGGGTTGCTTAATCAGACCCGAGTGAAGGTTTGACATTGTTCGCTACAGAATTGTTATATAATTTGTTTCGTCTGGGGGACAGGCAACATGTGTATATGCCCAACCATTTAACTATGCCCAACCATTTCTGTCCCGTCTGGTATCCCCGATTGTGTCGAGAATGAAGCCCACTGTGCTACGAGACCCTCAATAATTGTATTGATAGTACCAGTAGATTTACAGTACAAATGATATGCATTAGAGTATAACTCTGCATACTAGTATGGGAGCCGGTCGGCCGAGCGGACAGCACGCTGGACTTGTGATCCTGTGGTCCTGGGTTCGATCCCAGGCGCCGGCGAGAAACAATGGGCAGAGTTTCTTTCACCCTATGCCCCTGTTACCTAGCAGTAAAATAGGTACCTGGGTGTTAGTCAGCTGTCACGGGCTGCTTCCTGGGGGTGGAGGCCTGGTCGAGGACCGGGCCGCGGGGACACTAAAAAGCCCCCGAAATCATCTCAAGATAACCTCAAGAAGATAGTCTAGTCAGTCACATTATACGTAACTTGTGAATTAAAATTGACATTAATTTTATGCAGCCATTTATAAACTCGAGAACAAATTCTTTATGATTAATTATTGATATATTTGTTGCTTTAACATGTTAACAAGCCAAACAATGACTCGGGGTCTTATGACATGTGTTGGAGTTGTATTTCCGGGCAGTGGTTGAGGAAGCAGCCAGGCAGGGAGGACTAGCCTCGCCCCATTAGGAAGTGCGCAAAGTTGACGTTCTTGTCTGTTTACTGGTGGAGTTGTGGGGGGGGGGGGTGAAAACAAAAGGTGGCAACTGTTTCAGCCCTCTGGTGGATTGGTTGATTGGTGCCGGAGGCCCTCTCTGACCTTCCCTGCTGTTGCTGCCTGTTGCTGCCCTCCGCTACATCCCTCCCACACCTACTGCTGCCCTCCACTACCTCAACGCCACTCTCCCGTGTCTACCTTACACTACCCCCAACCACGCCCTTCTGTTGACCTCCGCGGCCTTCCTGCCAACCACACCCTCACCATGAGCTGCCATATACACACCTCTCACACTACCTACTCCACCACTACCCTACGCCAGACACTACCTCTCCACCACCACCCTACACTACACTTACTAATTATATTTCATCCATTTCATCCACACAGGCTGAACAGCATCCATTCTGGCTGGTTTGGAGGAAGTTCGTCAAGAGGAAAAAGATGTTCTGGTATTGTAGACAGCCGAGGAGCACTTGATTCATTAAAGAGTCGAAACCCAATCATGTCCATAGTTGAGGACTGTAAGAAAATGATAACTGAGATAAAGCTAAAAGGCCACAAAGTGAAATTCACGTGGATTCCATCTCGTGATGTAATAGTGCTCAAGGAGGGGGCGGAAGACCTGGCCAAACGCGCCACATCATGGGACACGAACAAGGGGACACAGGTGGAAACTTAGTACCCAGATGAGCCACAGAGACGTTAGAAAGAATTTTTTCAGTGTCAGAGTAGTTAATAAATGGAATGCACTAGGAAGTGATGTGGTGGAGGCTGACTCCATACACAGTTTCAAATGTAGATATGACAGAGCCCAGTAGGTTCAGGAATCTGTACACCTGTACAGATTCATCACATCACAACCACAAGTTAACATTGAGTGAGTCTTAATCATAAACAAATAATAAGCAAAATAATAATTTTCAGGTTCAGGCAGAAATGGCGGGGAGAGAGATAATATATATAAGAGATGTCAACCCGTGCAACACTACATGTATGTGAGTCATAAACACTCTTTTTACTTATGGTAAAAGGAATTTATACCTCAATAAACATATTTCAATTCAAGACTACACTAAAACTTTGCTGGTGTGCCAGAGTGAGCGCGGCGGCACCAGGATGTGTCTCCCTGGCGCGGAGCCTCGTGGACTCCCTCACACATCCCGTCTTCTCTCCGACCTTACAACAGCTCCAAATTAATAACTCATATATTGCCGCACATATTTTGGTAATGGTTGTTTGACATCAGATTTGTGGGTTATACTGTATCTACTCCCTGGCCACGGAGGGGTGTGTGGTGGGGGTGTGTGGTGGTGGTGGGGGTGTGGTGGGGGGTGGGAAGGCAGCAGTCAGCACTAAGCCAGTGTTGCAAGGCTGCTCACGTCTTCATTGTTGACTTGGTTTTTCCGTGTTCAGCAACCCACCAAACCCGACAGCGCTGGCCTGGGCACTGACAGGTGTGTGGACACGGGCACGTGTGTGCATGGGCACGTGTGGACACGGGCACGTGTGTGGACACGGGCACGTGTGGACACGGGCACGTGTGGACACGGGCACGTGTATTCACCTAGTTGCGCTGATATGGACACGGATGAATGCAGTCACGTGTTATTGGATAACAGCTCCTTGACAAAACATTTACGTTACCTCAATAATAGCGGCTGTGGCTGCGTGCAGTACTGTAGACCTCTTCTGGGACACTACATCGTCACAGTAAACTGCCTGACACCCCACTGACCTCATCTAATGTCCGGCTGCCCGAGGACAACTTGCCAGGAATGATCCTCGGAGGTACACACAACTCTCTGAATTGAAAACTGCTCAATTGTTTGCTGAAACCATCGTTAATGATATTTTCTTATTTCTTCATAGTGTCCTGACAGTAGTCGAGCGGAGAAGTTTTGGTTGACTTGTAAAACTAAAGGTCATTTATTCATTAAAGTCGAGAATGACCTTATTCAAGTAACAACTTGAACGTTCAACAACCTGTCAACAAATGAGTTTACAACCCCTAGACTCACAATCTGGAATCCCAGGTTCGATCCCCGGGTAGACAGAAATTGTTGGACATGTTTAATTTAACCTGATGGCTCTGTTCACCTAGCAATAAATAGGTACCCGGGAGTTAGGCAACTGTTGTGGGTTGCATCCTGGGCAAGGTCAGTAGTTGACCTAGTCAGTGGGTGGGGTGGGTGGGGGGGGTCGTGGATAAGCGTCAGTCCAGGGTAGAGGCGGAGTGCCAGTATTTAGTGATGGCACTCTAGGAGGGAGGGAGGGAGTTGGCCCTCAGTGTGTGACGGTGCCCCGGCACCACCTTCTGTATGTGCACCTTCTTGTATGAGTACCCTCTTGTATGTGTACCTTCCTCTTTATGTACACTTTCTTCATGCTTGTGCAGCTGCTCCTTATGCTTGTGCAGCTGTTCACTGAGGATAACTATTTACTGCATCGTTCACATTACCCGAAGAGTCAACCAACTGCCTCTATATGTACAGACCTGTTGAGGTGGCTGGTAGTGTATGGTATGGTACCCTGCCGCAGGTGGTGAAGACCACGGTACCCTGCCGCAGGTGGTGAAGACCACGGTACCCTGCCGCAGGTGGTGAAGACCACGGTACCCTCCCGCAGGTGGTGAAGACCACGGTACCCTCCCGCAGGTGGTGAAGACCACGGTACCCTCCCGCAGGTGGTGAAGACCACGGTACCCTCCCGCAGGTGGTGAAGACCACGGTACCCTCCCGCAGGTGGTGAAGACCACGGTACCCTCCCGCAGGTGGTGAAGACCACGGTACCCTCCCGCAGGTGGTGAAGACCACGGTACCCTCCCGCAGGTGGTGAAGACCACGGTACCCTCCCGCAGGTGAAGACGGTACCCTGCCGCAGGTGAAGACCACGGTACCCTCCCGCAGGTGAAGACGGTACCCTGCCGCAGGTGAAGACCACGGTACCCTCCCGCAGGTGAAGACGGTACCCTGCCGCAGGTGAAGACGGCGAGGTTCGCCATGCGGCCGAAATTTCCGCCACTGCATCATGCAGACTATAGAGCGTTATATTATATCAGAGAAGAGCATCATGCTTCCTATCTTATCTGGCGGGCGAGAGCGTAGCAGCGTGGTGCCGGAGGTGGCGAGGCGGAGCGAGAGGAAGAGGTCCTTGGGTTGGTCTTCATGTTGAGCGGGTAATGTCAGCTTGGGCCAGCAGTCAGCTGGTGGACCTGGTGGGGGCGAGGCGCTGGAGACACCCTCCACAACGTGTGTTTACCTGTGTAGCTGATGGACGGGGTGTATCCACAGGTGCACTACTTAACAACACTTAAATCCTCATCATTCGTCTTGATTAAAGTGCACAATAAAATAAGTGACTAACTTAGACTGTGGTGTTATCATTATAGCTTAAACCTTAGAATGAAACGTAACCTTACGAAGGCTTGAGAGAGATATAATGAAGGAGCAATAAAGTGAAGGGGCGAGCAAGGTGAGCCAGTTGTGGTGGACCCTCCGCCAGAGACACTTCTCCCCGGGGTAACCCCAGTCCACCACCACCACTGGATACTATACACACCACCACCACTGCATCAAGACATCAGTCATGTACGTTTACCACTAATCTCTGACTAATTATATTTAAACTTTAAGGTCTGTCGTGTCTACAGAAGGCAAGATGTTGTCTGGCGCTACTGTCAACACTGTCTTCCTCATTTTTGACTCTTGGACACCAACCATGCAACTGGTCAGCGGCTGTGGTAGCTGGTCGTGGCACTGTTGACTTGTGTTGGTCGTGGCACTGTTTACCTGTGTTGGTCGTGGCACTGTTTACCTGTGCTGGTCGTGGCACTGTTTACCTGTGCTGGTCGTGGAACTGTTTACTTGTGTTGGTCGTGGTACTGTTTACCTGTGCTGGTCGTGGCACTGTTTACTAGTGCTGGTCGTGGCACTGTTTACCTGTGCTGGTCGTGGCACTGTTTACTAGTGCTGGTCGTGGCACTGTTTACCTGTGCTGGTCGTGGCACTGTTTACTAGTGCTGGTCGTGGCACTGTTTACCTGTGCTGGTCGTGGCACTGTTTACCTGTGCTGGTCGTGGTACTGTTTACTTGTGTTGGTCGTGGTACTGTTTACCTGTGCTGGTCGTGGCACTGTTTACTAGTGCTGATCGTGGCACTGTTTACCTGTGCTGGTCGTGGCACTGTTTACTAGTGCTGGTCGTGGCACTGTTTACCTGTGCTGGTCGTGGCACTGTTTACTAGTGCTGGTCGTGGCACTGTTTACTAGTGCTGGTCGTGGCACTGTTTACCTGTGCTGGTCGTGGCACTGTTTACTAGTGCTGGTCGTGGCACTGTTTACTAGTGCTGGTCGTGGCACTGTTTATCTGTGCTGGTCGTGGCACTGTTTACCTGTGCTGGTCGTGGCACTGTTTACCTGTGCTGGTCGTGGCACTGTTTATTTGTTTGTGCCACCCACACACACCAAGATACGCCACCCACAAACATACACTAAGATACGCCACCCACAAACATACACTAAGATACGCCACCCACAAACATACACTATGATACGCCACCCACAAACATACACTAAGATACGCCACCCACAAACATACACTAAGATACGCCACCCACAAACATACACTAAGATACGCCACCCACAAACATACACTATGATACGCCACCCACAAACATACACTAAGATACGCCACCCACAAACATACACTATGATACGCCACCCACAAACATACACTAAGATACGCCACCCACAAACATACACTATGATACGCCACCCACAAACATACACTAAGATACGCCACCCACAAACATACACTATGATACGCCACTCACAAACATACACTAAGATACGCCACCCACAAACATACACTAAGATACGCCACCCACAAACATACACTATGATACGCCACCCACAAACATACACTAAGATACGCCACCCACAAACATACACTATGATACGCCACTCACAAACATACACTAAGATACGCCACCCACAAACATACACTAAGATACGCCACCCACAAACATACACTATGATACACCACCCACAAACATACTAAATTTCGCCAACTAGTGACTATATTCTAAATGGCAATCCTAGGGGGTATACAAATTATCCATTAAAAAATAGATGTATGAAATGTGCTATACTTCCGCGGCCATCTTCGAATTAACCGCTCGACATTATGAGAGGATAGATTGCAAGCCTCGTGAAGGCTTCCCTTAAAAGTGTCATTAGACGAGAACTCCTGGATGGATTTGAAGAAAGTAGAACAGTGCAAACTGGAACTAGCAGGTCCATTGTTCATTACAATGAAATGTGTGAAGTAAAACATGTGTATGGGGCAAGTAACAAAGTCAGTAGACTAACAGATGTTGTCACAGCTCGTATAAGACTTGGCTACAAGTATCTCTGGCAGTTCGGCTTGTATAGGGATCTAGATGAAGTAAAGTGTAAAGTGTGTGGACATAGGCAGGGACACACACTCGAACACTATATCTTGGATTGTAGTAAAATTGAGCCTTTTAGAGATAAATCTAAGCTCACTCTGTATGATATGGCAACCTATCTTATTACCATGGATAAATTACCTGAAATCCTTGCACTGTACCCACATTTTGCTTCCAGTAGATGAACTACATATGAGATTCAGAAACAAGTAGTGTATTGTGAGGACTAATAATAATCAGAAGCTCCCCTATGACTCTGTAATATCCCCATTGGCCAAACTATTATGTATTAGCGATAAGACCTACCATTAATGTATGATGACTTACTGTAAATATGTAGCTCTTGTAATAGCACTTTCTCTGTAACTAGCTGACATTGTATCTATAAGGCGTGAAGGATTGAAGAAATTGTTTATGTAATAATCTAAGATGAGGTCTGATAAAGACCTTTTGTGCCCTCTGTAATGCTTTTGCGCTACCGCTCACAGGATGAGTATGGGGTGCACAATAAACTAGCCGCCTTCGGCGGCAACAATCAATCGTGAAGGCTACACAACTGGAGCACACACATAGCTTTACTCTCTTACGCAAACCTTCCAAGTGTGTATGTGTGCGTGTGTGACTCTCAGTTTCAAGCCCTGCATGTCCTGGAAGCGTGCCAGGAGCGCCCGCACCTCGGAGGGAGGTACGGCATGCCTCAGAGTATCCATACGGTATCCGATGCCCATAACTTTTCCCTAAATCCGATGTCTTTTGTTTTCCTTAAATCCTAGAACTGAATGATTCAGTTCTTCATCACGCCGTAGATGAGGTGCTCGACACCATGGCTCTCCATCTTTTTTTTTATAACCTTGACTCGGGAATATGCTTTTTTAGTTCGATTTTTTTTTAACTTGTAAAATTTCCTCGGGCTTCTTTGTGTGAGTGTGAACTAGTGTGAGTTGGTATGAAGCTGTGGGAACTAGTGTCAGTGGATATGAAACAGTGTGAACTAGTGTGAGTGGGTATGAAACAGTGTGAGTTAGTGTGAGCGGAAGACACGACGCGGAGTGAATTAGTGTGAAGAAATATAAAATAATATGCACGAGCGTGAATTAGTGTGAGGTGCTAAATGTGTGAGACTGCAAGTGTGTGTGAGTTAAGTGTGTTTGAGTGTGAGCAAGGCGATGGGAGGGGGGTGAGGTACAGCAACATCCGCTTACCAAACAGGTTGACCCTCATAAACACACTCTCAAATACACACTCTCAAATACACCCACCCACATATACACGCACCCACATATACATGCACCCACAAATACACGCACTCTCAAATACACACACCCACAAATACACGCACTCACATATACACGCACTCTCAAATACACCACCCGCAAATACACGCACCCACAAATACACGCACCCACAAATACACGCACCCACAAATACACGCACCCACAAATACACCACCCGCAAATACACGCACCCACAAATACACGCACCCACAAATACACGCACCCACAAATACACGCACCCACAAATACACGCACCCACAAATACACGCACCCACAAATACACGCACCCACAAATACACGCACCCACAAATACACGCACCCACAAATACACCACCCGCAAATACACCACCCGCAAATACACGCACCCACAAATACACGCACCCACAAATACACGCACCCACAAATACACGCACCCACAAATACACGCACCCACAAATACACGCACCCACAAATACACGCACCCACAAATACACGCACCCACAAATACACGCACCCACAAATACACGCACCCACAAATACACCACCCGCAAATACACGCACCCACAAATACACGCACCCACAAATACACGCACCCACAAATACACGCACCCACAAATACACGCACCCACAAATACACGCACCCACAAATACACGCACCCACAAATACACGCACCCACAAATACACGCACCCACAAATACACGCACCCACAAATACACCACCCACAAATACACGCACCCACAAATACACGCACCCACAAATACACGCACCCACAAATACACGCACCCACAAATACACGCACCCACAAATACACGCACCCACAAATACACGCACCCACAAATACACGCACCCACAAATACACGCACCCACAAATACACCACCCACAAATACACGCACCCACAAATACACGCACCCACAAATACACGCACCCACAAATACACGCACCCACAAATACACGCACCCACAAATACACGCACCCACAAATACACGCACCCACAAATACACGCACCCACAAATACACGCACCCACAAATACACGCACCCACGAATACACGCACCCACAAATACACGCACCCACAAATACACGCACCCACAAATACACGCACCCACAAATACACGCACCCACAAATACACGCACCCACAAATACACGCACCCACAAATACACGCACCCACAAATACACGCACCCACAAATACACGCACCCACATATACACGCACTCTCAAATACACGCACCCACAAATACACAAGCACACCAGTGTATGAGGATTGACCAAATATGAGAATTTTGGGGGGTTAAAAAATCCACATTTTGCACATATACGTACTCACTAGATGTTCTATTGTTTTTTGTAGAATAGGTTGCAAATTGATACAGGAGTAAATATTAATTTTGACGTCGATTCAAAAATCCAGCAAATTATACATTTGCTCCCTTGTAGAACAAGGGGGAAATCCGAGATCTCATTAGGTTTCACATATGTACGGATAAATTGTAATTTCAGTTCATTATAGAATATAGACAAATGCATGTTTCCAAGGCTAGGCAAAGAAAGCTCTTGTAGGTGCCAGCTCAGTGATCTGAATGTTGATAAACCCCATTGTGAGAGGGATCATGAAGTAATGATTAGTAATGAGTCAGATATACCATAAAGACAACAGTGTTTTATACGCAAAGCCTATAGAAAGCCTAACTTTTATATCTAACATTATTAGCAATAAACATGCTTTTTCTATAGAAAAAGGATGACAGGTTCATCCTCCACATCCTTTCTTACGTTATTCAACCCGTACATCGCATTTTAACGTATAACTTCCCTAAGGTCAATAACTGATGTACTAAAAATGGTAGCTGCTCGCAAAATTGGCGTGATGTCCCGTTTTCTGTTCGT